TCCTGCGTACCTGTCTTCCAGCACTTAAACAGACCTCCACAAACAAAGCCCCGGGAAAAGCGGTAAAATGCCAGATTGTTTCCAAGAAACGGCAGTTTAACAAGATTGTGCCAAACTTTCTCCCCAAAAGAGCCCCAGACAAGCATCCCAAGCAAAATAAAGTCCTGACAGACAGCCCACAAAAAAAACCCCAACCCATTTTGTGCAAATTTCAGTAATTCAGCCCTAGACAGCCCTGCTGCTGATTGATGCACAAATCCCCCCCCACACCCCAGCTTGTTCCGCTGCATCAAATATTCCTCAGGCTTTTTTGCCTCCCCCTGAGCAGAGCCCTCGAGTGAAGGGGAGAGAGGGGGGGGATCCGCAATCCCTACGTGGGGCAGGATGGAGAAGGAGGAAGGTCTTTGGCCCTTGGGATTCATAGGTCAATAACTAAACACTTTTATTTCCACCTCGAAGCCCGCAGGCAGCCGGGAGGAAGCACACGGCAGAGTTTGTTAGCAGCTGGGCACTCATTTACCCAGCGGCTGCTGATCTCACAGCTGATTTATACGCCCAGTAGATTGATGGGGTTATCACAAGTAAATTAACTCAAAGGAGATGCAGGCAGGAATTAAGCGGCGAGGTTCTTCCGATAAAGAAAATTAGATTTATTACAATAAAATAGCTACATTTTGAAAACCTGTACGTAAAACAGGAAAAAATTTTTTAAAAAGCAGTACTGCAATTTCATGTATAAATTTATAAACTAAGATTAGCATCTTTCTAGATTTTAACTTGCAAAAAATATAAAAACATCAATTGATGGACACTTATTCTGCACACTCGGTCACCTTTTTTGTTGGCAATAATTCTCCCTCCAAAGAGAGATGGATTTTGAGATTTGCAAAGTGGTTGTTAAGCTGTGGAAATCCTGAACTAAAGAGGCACTGAAGGAAACCACCACTAGATATCATCATTTGGCTATTTAATAGATATCAGAAAAAAAATTGTTCATGTTGATCTGGCATGTAAAAAAAATCCCTATTACACACCCAGGTGAAGTCACCTTCTATAAGGGCTCGCCGGAGAACAGCCTGGGGAACGACATCAAGCTATAGGCCTCTGTTAGTTGGGTAGGGTTAACTCAGAGCTCAGCTTACTCCAGGGTCCTGGTCCCAGTACCTGACGAACATCTGTCCGTGGGAACATGGAACGAGAACTGGAAATGCAAGCAAAAATTCCCCGCCGGTCTTTCTCCTTCCATTTTTCAGATTTTCATGGCACATGGATAAACACAACTGCCAGCCAGAGTCTGGCCGTACGCGTATGACCTGTAAAACGTGGCGCTGCTTTTGTTTGTAATAAATCACATCTGCTGCCCCTCAGCAGCCTGGAGCAGCACGCCTTTAAGTGATTCTCCCTGTGTAGTTTGAGGTCACTGAGCCATTTCTCCTGCTGGTGAAAATGGGCACAGCTCCATTGCAGCCGATGGGAGTTTTCCTCTCAGATTCAGAATATGACTCGGTATCTTCCAAATAGAAACAAATCCAAAGGATGCCATGGATTGCAACATGTCAATTAAAATAAGACTGAACTAAAAATAGCATCTGAATTAATAATAAATATATACGTCACATCTTTCCAGATATTACCAGATTTTGCTCCTAAAATGGATCCTGCAGCAACACCACGGGTATCTTTCTTCCTATGAATTTTGAGAAGTTATTTAAATTTTGGATTAAACCAGAATAACAGATACTGGGCACAAAAAGCGTATAGGTGATACTTTTCCATGGGCAAAACTGCATAGCATCAGAAACAAAATACAGTCTGTGCTACTAGACATTAGCAACGTGCATTTGCCTACATCACGCGCACCGCTGAAGCACGCGTTATCGTGCCGAGCAGCTACATAAACTAGCTGAAAAACTCATTTTCCCTTTCCCTCCTCCAAACCGTTCATTTATTAAAATTCTAAAAACCCAGTCGTCTTATGCTTTTCTATTCGAAAACGAACCCCCAAAGCATGCCTGAAGAAAAGTTGAGCATTATTCTTCCAGGTGCTAGACGTACCCTGGCTTCATCTGCATCCATAATACGTTTCAGGGGAGCTGCTATCCTGAATTACAGACCACGCTCCCCGCTGCCGTCAGGCTGTAATACGGGCTGTAATTGTCATGCAGGTAACAAGCTTTGCTCGTAACGCTGCTTGTTGTGTTGTGTTTTCTTTTCTTTCTGGCTAAAATTGTCCACGTATTTGATAAAACCAACTCTGGGCTCTGAAACCAGTCCTGAAAAGGGGTGGGACGGGCACAGCTTCGCCACAACCTCCAATTCCGTCAAATACTGAATATTAATTTCCATATACTCTTCTGCCCCTCGGTTTCTCTAACAGCGATGGGAGAAGCAGGTCCATCGGGGTTTCTCCCACCGTAGCAGCTGACGATGCTCAGGAGCTGCTGTTAACATCAACGTGGAAACTGCAGCCGGCTTTAATATCCAGGGCTTGGGCTCTGGGGTTAGAGCAGGAGAGAACCAGCCTCCTCTAACGCATTTCCCAGGGCTGGGAAGGACAGAAAAACGACCAAAGTCTGGACCTCGGCTTTAAACTCTGACTTCCACATTTCCTGAGGAAGAACCTTGTGCAATTAACTTCTTTCAGGATGTTGGTTTGAACTATAAATACATCCCAGGGGAAATCAAAGGCTGGGGCGAGGCAGCACAAATGCCACAGAGCACTTTTTTCTCAGGTTAATTGCAAACCCTTTGGTTCCTGATGCCCTTTGGAGTGTTTTTCCCTCTCGCCCTCCGTTAACTCCTTCTCTGCACTGCTGCCAGGGCAGACTTCAGAGTGCTGCCCACTCTGGACTCCTCCAGAATTGAACGAAGTCCTCTGGCCTCTTCCAAAGGACTCCTGACTCGATTTTGAATGCTGAGGAGCAGATTAATGAGACACACGTGTAATTAGGGCAACGCATTATAAAAGCAAAGCATCCTTTCCCATCACCCTCTTAGAAAACAGGGACTAGCTCCAGTGTCACTTACCCTCCTTGCACCTACAGTCACTGGAAGTTTTGATCAGGCGAGGAACATTCACCGAGGTCTTGGACACGTACGAGCCCAAATTTATTTAATTATTTGCTACATACTCAGCCAGAATCGTCGTTGCCTGTCATTTTAATCAGGATAAAAGAGGTTCTTACTTTGGTCACCCAGATCACTTTTCCCACCTGTCACCGAACGACAGCAATCTCTCTTTTCTTCCATCCGTGTGAAAATCCCCATCCTACCACAACGCGCTCATGGAAGAGCCTACCTCAGATTGCAGGCTGCCTGCAAGAATAACAGAAAAGACTGCAAGTTGGGCGTTCAAGGTAAGAAATAAAGAGCAGGAACCGGATTTTCAAAGGCAGCTGAGGGAAATGAATATCCAGCTCTCGAGGCAGGTGAAGAGAAGCAGAGTGCCCATCTTCCTACAGCTGCAAGATCAAAGTGTAAAAAAAGCTGGGAAACACCTCAAAACCCGGGGCATTCCCTCCACTCAGCTGCTGAATTGGCTCGATGCTCAGATAGGCTCCTTCAGACCATCCATCTGACTGAGCAGCTTCGTTGGCCAACGACTCGTTCTTGCGTTTTATTTTGGACCTTTGAGGTTTAATTCCAATACACAAACCATTTTACACGCCAGCCGCCTGCACACAGAGTCATCGAGCCCTGTGCTGCCGTTAACTTCCACCAATCCTAAAAGACCTTACAGGGCATCAGGAAAAAAAAAAATAAAAAAAAATCTTAAGCACGTTCCCTTTCCATTTCGCACACTGCCACATTCAGCGATGCCCACAGAGGCAGTCACGTCCTCCTCTTCCTCCTCCGACAGCAGCCCCGTGCCACAGAGGTGCAGACTTTACATAAGCCCGGCTTATTGAGTCCAGTATTACTTTTTTCTACAAATTTCCATCTGTGTATAAGCCAAAACAGGCACAGTTTTAACTCTAAGCCCCAGCATAGAGTTTATATTACAGTAAAAGCAACTAATTAATAAACTAAATTACTTAAGAGCTCCGAGGTGAATCCCTTGGGAACTCAGACCCTCTCGAAGTTCCCAGGCATTCTTTCCAGCCTACTGATATTTTCATTATCAATGCCAACTCGGAGTGATTTTAAAAGAAGCCCAACAACTAGATGCTGGATTTAAAAAAAAAAAACCAAACAAAAAAACCCCACCACCCCAACAAAACCCAACCAACAACTCTGTTCTCCTCAAAGGACTGCGCAGATGTCGAGGCCTTGATTTACAAACACAAACATGTCTGCAGCCGATGTATTATTACCCAGAGATGACGAGGTCCCTCGTATTCTCTTAGAGGGTTGACAAAGATTTTAAAAATGCACATTATGCATCAGAGTTCGAGAGATGTGTCTCAAAGACGAAGGTTTTGGTTTATGGCAGTTGTTCAGTTGCCAGTTTCACAGAGCAGCTCTGCTTTAGAGCTCATCCCACCCCTCCGCAGCGAGGAACATGATAAAAGGATTTACCTAGCACAGCAGCATGCCTCACAAAGCGCACAGTTATATCAGAGTGTGTGGCTCGATTTTGGATTTCACAACTGTGAACCCGGACCTGCAGGTGTGTCAAACCGTACTCAGTCACAGTGCAAGAGGTTTCCTTACCAGGAGAAAGCTGCAGACCAGGTAACAGTCCGATGCATTTATCATTTTACAATGGTGACAGAGTGATTAATTTCCTGTTGAAATACTTACGGAGAAGAATTAACAGAAAAGGAAGTAAATGGGTTTGAAAGCTCAGTAATGAAATTTCCGTATCAAAAATCCGCATTTAAATTTCCAAACGAAGAAGATGAAAGCCTGAAGACCGTTTTCGGGAGCACTGCGGTTGTCTCAGCTTGCCAAGGTTGCAGGTGCTTCATTTCGAAGGAAATAAAAGCAGAATCCATTTACTAAAAACGCAAATGGAACATAAAATAACAACATACTGACAGAAAGCAGAGTGGGTTTCATCAAAGAGGTAAGGTTTTATTTAAAAATCAAATACTTTTACAACCTTGATCAACTATTTCACCTAGATTTTCACTACTCCAGCTATGCAATACATACATATGCAATAATTCATTCTGTGTCATGTCAACGTATTTCCTATGTACAAAATAATCCAGAGTCCTCAGCACCTCCAGCTGCTGACAAGGCTTTCAAGACAAAGAAATATTCTTTCAAGGGACTGTGATCGAGCTTTGCAGGAGCAAAATTTGAACCTGAATGTCCAGGTCTTGAGCTTCAACTACAGAGCCCAATCCAAAGTCCAGCAAAGACAACTTGACTCTTTTAGGTACTGGCCGGGTGGCTCAGTCTCTTCGAGCAGAGTTTCACCAGCACACGTCTTGACTGATTTTTCTTGCAGGAGTAAACCCAATGGTACATGACTCCAATAACTCATACGGCCAGAGTCTTAGAAGGAGGACGTAGACATTTTAAAAAATACGGTTAACCGGTATTTTAGAGAGAAATTAATTTCACGTTCTACATTAGAAAAAAAGAAAATAACGACCTTTACTTCCTCTGCTAACAAACTATGGTTTAAGACTTAAAATATTTATTTGAAAAAGCCTGTAGTGTGTAAATGTTCTCGTTTCCCAACCTAATCCTCGGAGCAAAATATTCGTATCCGAATCCTGTTCATCTCTTGGTCAGTCACGACGTAAACTGCATCCTGTAGCTCTTCTTCACGCAGGCGGGGTTTGAGATTTGTAAGTTTGGAGTACTAAATTCAGAACTGCTCCTGTTGGTAGCACTGCACAAACTAAACAAAGCTAAAGAGTGCAAGAGCACTTCTCTGGCTTTGGATGATTCGATATTCTGCTCCTGTGACACCTGAAAGCTGATCTGATTCAGGTTATTCCTCAGAAAGCTGCACGTGAGGAGGTTTGTTACTGAACCGCACCTGGTCAAGTTTTCTTCAAAAAACTGTTTATAGAGCTCTGCCACTTTTGTTTCCATGTACTTGTTGAGCACGGAGTTTGAGAGAGGCTCCTCGCAGAGCACGATGCTCCTTTCTCCAGCTTCGTCCCCAGGCAGGGACTGGGCAGTCAGCGTCTGGGGACGCTCGCAGGGAGGGGACTGACCCAGAGGAATATCTGCCGAGAGCAGGACGGGGCCGTTGGGACGTTCATCACAGGCACGGTCCAGAACACAGCCCGAATCACACGTATGGCCCCCCACACGGTCTCCCCCAATATGTAAGTCGGGATAGTTTTGATAAATGCTGTTGCATGACCAGGATCTATACAAATCCAACTGTCCTACACTTTGTTCTCTTTTGGGGATACATAAAGCTGGGGACACAATTCCTTTAGTGAGTGTTTTCTGGTCCTTTGCAGGTGCTGCTTTCACAGCTCTCCGCTCAGGACCGCTCCTGTGTTCCATTTTGCTATTTCTAGCAGAGATCTCCTCCTGCTTCTCACGTCTATCAGCAGAGCCTTTAATTTTTGGGTTGTCTACAAGTTTCTGTCTCCAGATTCCTTCTTTATCCCTTCTGGATGCCTGAGATTTGCGAGGCTTATCTTGATGACAGCTTTCTTTATAGATGAGTCTAGTTAAGATGCCTTCTGCCAACATGACGCCAAGTGTGAGTAACAGCCCAGTCACCAGAGTCCCAGGTACTCCTGCGAGCAAGAGACAGGCAGAGTGTCTCAAACTTATTTGGACAGAGAGGAATTTAAAAAAAACAAAAACAAAAACAAAACCGTAATATTCATAAAGACTGTGATTTTTTCTTCCTCTCTAGAATATTTATTTTTAGTAAACAGTAAACTGCATGCTTTTCTACAACAAAGGTTAACCTCTTGTAGAGACTAACCTCTATACTACGTCAACAAAAATCATTCTGAAGAGACAGAAAGAGCATTAACCGAGTGCTTTATCTCTAATATCACTTCGTTCCCAGGTATCCCTTCTGCATTGTGGCTCACTGAGATAGATCGTACTTATGAGCTGTAAAAATCAGCAAAATTATTCTACTCGTCTATATCGCTACCAGCAGTTGCAAATCAACATTTTTCCCCTGAAAGATAATTTCTAACAGGTGACAGAGGAAGGAAATCAAGATCACATTCAGACTGAAGAGGCTGATTCTGAATGGGCCTGAGCCCTCCTGCGAGGTGCCAAGGAGCGTCAATAGGTGCTGATAGTTCTTTAATACAGTAAAACTACATCCAAAATGGAGTTCACACACGCAAGTGTTTCTAGAGTCCCTCTTAATGGTTATTTTTAAAGTTGTAAGTAGTTAATTTGTCTTCCCCAATACCAAAGAGTATGTTTGTGTATCTACAGGGTCCAGTTTTACGAAATGCCCAGGAAAAATTAAAAGCCAGCCAATCTGTCTCAGAATAACCTACTACATTTAATGATTCCTCACCATTCCTTTGTAATTCACCTACGGTTAAATCAACAGCAACCTGCATTTTGAGCCGAGTCTGACCCAAACTCACTGAGGAAAAACTCATCACCGCTCCTCTTAGGGAGGAATGGGAAAGATGAACACAAGAAAAATCCCTCTGCTCTTCCAACACCTTTTTAATCTCTGCGTAATTCAAGCGCCTCCACACACCTCTAGGGTGCTCAGGGCTTGAAAGAGGGAGGGGAGAGGAAAGGATGAGGCGGTTTTACCAAAGATTACGCATCGAGTCTCCCAACAAACACCAGTTTGAAATACACCAAAACCTCTACTTATATCACAGACAATTAATACTTGTCACAGGGCTGGCAATTTATTTCAGGAGCCATGCCATGCAAGTCACTAGATCGCTCCCCTCACAAACGAAACCACTGCAAATTTAATATGATATTTGATATAGAACTGGAAAGATCCTCCTCACTCTACTCATTTGCTTCTAACTATCAGCAAGCAAACCATTATCCTCTGGTTTATTTGTTCTGCAGTGAAGCTTGATACACTGGGTCACATTTTTAATCCCAATGCTCCTTCCAGAAAGCTATCCTAAAACTCCAGTTACTCGAGAGATGGAAATTTTCATCTTCCCTCTTAAATTTACACGTTGCCACAGTACAACCGTTTGCTTTTTTTTTTTTCCCTCCTTTTTTCGAAGGCTCTTTTTTAGCTTGAGTGGCACTGTTCCCTCCCTGAAGCTGAAGGTAACACTGGAATTGTGCTATGACTTCGAGTGAGAGCAAAGCAGACAAGAAAGGCAGCACACCAAGCCTTCTCCTGGTTGCATTAGCATAACTGTTTACTTTATATACAGAACCATTTACATATGCAAAAAAGCAGGACAACATTTTCTTAAGCACTTAAGGGAAACCAAGTGCCATTTTCAAAAGAGACAAGAGTACTTGGCAGACTAAATCTTGCTGAACATCAATGGAATTTGGAACGCTGCATGCCTCATTTGCTTCTGAAAAACACGACACAGGTACCCCGATCCTTACATGCTGACAGATTTTGCTGTATTGCTTTGAAAATGCTCCTAGTGCTAATGCAGAGCTAAAATATGGTGATCTTTGCAAAACTGCTCTCTTTCAAATAAAGTAAATGGTGCCTTCATTCTGGAACAAAGCACAAGGGAAGAAAAAAAAAAAAAAAAAAAAAAAAAAGCACAAAAAGGCCAGACTTACCAACCCTAGTCGGGTAAGAGAGGCGGATAATCACATAGCCCAGAACTCTCCTACTACAGCTGCTCCAAGAAAATAGATTCTTACATACTCTTTCTTCACTGCTGTCTGTGTGGAAAAAAACCTGACGTACACATGATTTAGTTCCCCATTTTTTTCCTTTTAAAACAGAAGTGATCCCACTGGATAAGTGCGCGGTATCTGAATAGAAAGTGACCGTAGATCTAAAAGAGGATGTGAAAAAAAAAAAATTAATCTAGATGTTTCTGACTGTGGTGCAAAGATGAGAGTTGCTAACTGCCTTCATACAGCATTCAAACCCAACAAAGACTACCAAGGGATCGGAGTGCCTGCACCTCACCAGGCTGTTCAGAACTGAAACTGAATTCCACCCAATGTTTCCATGGAAGGAAGTTCAGCGTTGTTCTATCACCCACCTGACCTACCGAGGCAGTGTTATTTACTGCATTTCCCTTTTTGGAACAAAGAGCTGAATTTATAGTCTTGTGACCTTCTTCTGATGGAGAAGACGTTGACAACTTCGCTTCATCACGATTTTGATGAAATATCATTTTGTCTGTAAAACGCAAATGCAAGAATCCGCTTCCCTGAAAGCGGCAGCCATCAGACAGCTGTGGACAATCACGTTGCTCATTGACCAAACCCACTTGCTTTAGGCTCAAAAATTACCTCCCTCTCAGTGGCGTGTCAGAGGTGTTCCCACAGCACGTTTTTAGCGTGTTCTCCTCACACAGGCTGAAGCCGAGCTCATTCATGGAGCCACACCGCTCCCCCAGCGCTAGCTCCAGCCCACAGACAGCTTGAAATGTTTTCTGTTGATGCCTTTTCTAAATTTCCTTGTTCTCAGAAGAAAAAAAAAATAAAAATTCAGAAGCTGAATCCCATCCAAATACTTGACAAAAGATCTTGAAAAGAAACTGTTTAGTGTAATGATAGGAGCAAGTAAAATAAAACTAGTGTAAAGATATCCTTACGGCAACATATTGATTGCAACCCATCTTATGACATGTTTTGGCAGTAAAATAATGATGTATCCTTGAAATGAATTAATGTGCAGTCTGAACTAACTATGACCATATAGGTCCAATGGACTCTTTAAAATTATTCTTCTTTACCACCTGTATTTCACAAAAGACTTCAGTTTTTACGGATGCAGAATGAAAGCTACTTTTATTCCCGCGGCATTTATAGAAAACTCACTTCATATTTAAAAGTTGTTTATTTTTAATCACCTTACACGACTCATTTCTACAGGGTAGATGTGGTTGTGATTCCAGTCTTGGAGGGCAGGAAACAGGGTGGTTCAAATTCCAAGCAGTTTGAAAGCTTGCCTCCTTCACTGAGCTTGTAATTAGTGCCAGCTGCAGCTGTATTTTTTTTTTTTTTGTGTGTGTGGCAGTTTCAACAAAACACGAGTAACAGGGAGAGGAAGAAATCAAGTTAGGCAATTAGGGATTAAAACCAAGCCACCTTTCATTTCAGCTGTACTCCGGTGTGAAATGCATCAATAGCCAAGGGACTTCATGTATTTCTGTCAATAAGATCTTACCAAATAAAACCCCCTGATATTCACCAAAATAAAATCAGAACACAAGAGAAGCAGAAGTTATTTCTGAAGCTGAAAACAGACTGCAGTCTGGAGAAGCAGGCAGCAAGACAAGCATGCCTGAATCATGAAGCCAAACTTAAAGCAGGACGTATAAAGAAAGAAAAATAAGTTTTTACTCATTCATACACGGAAGAAATAAGTAACACCTCGTTGTGTATCACCATACAGTTATCCTACTACGTGAACTACAGCAGCATGTAAACCAAGTCCCTTATTCCAGCCCGGACTATGTGTTCTAGGTGCATATAAACGCGAAGTAGACATGGACTACATGAACTGCTTTATTTTTTTTTTCCGGGCACAGTTGTTGCAGGACTTTTGTTCCCCACTTAAACCAGCAGTGCTTCCTTTTAACAGCCCCAGCTTCGAGTTCTCAAATACCTTCTTGCACAGGCGCCCTCGCCCGAGCAGATGCGGCCGCTCCCCGGTGCCGCCGCCTCCGAGGCGCTGACATCCCGGCCGCGGCCCGCGCCTCTGCGCTGCCACCTCCCGGCCCCGGGGACACGCTCCGCTGGGGGTGTTTCCACGGCTGAAAGTGCCCGGGATGCCAAAGTTTGCTCTGTCTCTTAT